CCAGCCCGCCCTACTGACACGTTCGGGGGTGCAGCGGGGAGAAGTTTATTTACAAGAAGAAGAGATGGAGATGGAGGAGGAGGAGGAGGAGGAGGAGGAGGAGGAGGACCTGAGGAGGAGGAGGAGGACCTGAGGAGGAGGAGGAGGAGGAGGAGGAGGAGGAGGAGGAGAGCGAGGAGGGGGAGGAGGAAGAGAGGGAGTAGGGGGAGGAGGGGGAGCAGGAGGAGGATGAGGAGGAGGAGGAGGAGGATGGCCTGGGGTCAGGGGGCGTGGTCACGGTAGGCCCCCCCAAGAGGTGGAGGAGTTTCGGTCCGCCTCAGGCTGCTGCGCAAGATGAGGACGAGGACGATGGCGAGGAGAAGCCGGAGGAGGGAAGGAGCAAAAGGGGGACGGTGAGGATGAGCATCGCATGTTGGTGTAGATCTTGTTTGGGGGATACTTGGGGGGCCTTCACTGGTGCCTGTTGTCTTCTTGGGTGGACCCGCGTGAGATTGATTGGTTCGCGCCGCCCCACCGACTCCATGAGGTCCCCTGGCGCTCGTGTCCTGTTGATTTTGCGAGACGTCTATCGAATGGCCTTCGGTCCATCCCGCCACCGTGCCTGGGTTGTGGGTCTGAGGCCTCGTAGATGGTCGTTGGGATCTCGTCGAGGCGTCTCGGGGGCCTCCTGCAGGCAGTTTTGAAGCCTCTGGGGAGCTGTTTGGGGGCCTCTTGGGGCCTCTTTTGGGCCTCTTGGGGACTCGTGGGGGCCTCTTGGACTCTTGGGGCCTCCTAGGAGCATCTCAGGGCGGAAGGCTGGGATGTTCGGTTCGTGCTCCCCCTCTTGGGGCCCTCTTTGGGCCGTCTTGGGCGCCTCTTGGGCAGTCTTGCATCTTGGAGCCTTCTTGGGATGCATCTGGGAAGCTTCTTGGGCCGTCTTCGAGGCTTCTCGGGCCGTCTTGGGGCCATCTTGGGCGTCTTGGTGCGGTCTCTGGGCCTCTCAGGGCCCGCTTGGCCCGTCTTGGGGTCCGTCTTGGGGCCCGCTTGGGCCCGAACGGGTCACGCGGGGAGACGCAGGAGAGCCCAGGGGACACGCGGGAAGCCGCGGGAGATTTGTCAATTTGGGCTCTGGGTCCTTGATATATTCTTCAGGAGCGAGGGTTGATCCTTGGAGGACTAGGGAAGGGGCCTGAGTACATGCCCGTTCCGTGCCCCCTGGTGTCTTTGGTGGCTGCTTTGCATGTCAAGCATTACACAGGGCTTCCTGGGCCAAAACAGTTTCCCGTTTGTTTGGATAGGGTCGGAGTACCGCATAGACAACTCCTCGGTGGATAAGGAGGTTGGGGGTTGACACCATGCTTGATTCGCAGTGGACGCGCAGTTCAACTCACAAGTGGCCATACCTCGAGACAATAATATAGGCATCCGCCTAATCTACATATGTGTAAGACATGCCCATATGTGTATTTATAAGTATATATGCATGTATATTGATGTGTAAATGTGTGTGTGTGTTTGAGAACATGTATATATGTATACTTCTGACTATGTGTTTATATATTCAGATGTACGCATGCATGCATGCATGCACATATGCATGTGTGTATGTGTGTATGTGTGTATGTGTGTATGTATGTATAATCATACATGTGTACTTGCATACATGCGTATCTGTCTATGTATGTGTAGGTGGATGTGTGTATGCACATGTGTATGCATGTGTGCATACATGTGCATACATGACTGTATCAATACAAGTACACCCACATCTACATGTATGTGTTTGTATGGATGTGTGTATTCGTGTATACAGATAGATACGTATGCCTATATGTGTGTGGGTATGCATGCATACATGTGTGTATGTATGTATGTATGGATGCGTGTGTACATGCGTATGTGTAGGTATGCATGGTTGTATGGATGTGAGTATATATGTATGTCTGTATGTATGTATGTATGTATGTGTGTATGTTTGTATGCAGTTATGTATGTATGTATGTATGTATGTATGTATGCATGCATGCATATATGTATGTATGTATGGACGTATGTAATGTATGTATGTATGCATGCATGCATGTATGTATGTATGCATGCATGTATGTATGTATGTATGTATGTGTGTATGGTATGTGTGTGTATGTATGTATGTATGTATGTATGTATGTATGTATGTATGTATGTATGTATGCGTGTGCGTGTTTGTATGTTTGTAGGTATGGATGTATGTGTGCAGGTATGTATGCATGAATGTACGTGTGGACGTATGTAGGTATGTATAAATGTATGTGTATGTATGTGTGTGCATGCATGTATATACGTATGATATGCATACATGTGTATGTGCACATGCCTGAATGTGTATGTATGTGTATGTGTATGTGTATGTGGATGCATGTGTACATGTTACATGCATGTGCATACATGCATATATGTATATATTCATACATGTGTACATGTATGCATATATATATATATAGATAGATAAGTACATACGTAGACGTGTATGTGTATGTAGGTCTATAATGCATGCGAATGCGAAAGAAATGGACGAGTACGCCCTTCACCCCGCCCAGGGCCCGCCACCTCGCCGCCCGTTTTGGGACCCCCTCCCGGGGCCTCCAAGAGGCTTCAAGACGACCCAAGAGGCCTCCAAGACGGCCTCAGACACCCCCAAGGCCGCCTAAGGAAGGCCCAAGAGGGCCCATAGACGGTCCAAGAGCGCTCAAAGAGCGCTTAAGATGGCCTCAGCACGGCTCAAGGGATCCCCAAGACGCCCCAGAAGAGCCCCCGGCGCGTCCCGAAGAGGCCTTGAGGCGGCCAAGCGCATTCATGATCCATTGGTTTTTGACAGATTTTTGTTTTTCAGTCTTCTGGGCTTCGACTGCCCAAGGCGGCCCACGAGGCCTCCTGGAGGCACCGCAAGAGAGCGCCAAAAACGGTCCACAGAGGACCGCAAGCGTCGGGGAGTGCTCCAAGAGAGCACAAGAGGCTTCAAGACGATTCAGGAGCGCCCCCCGACAGCCCAGGAAGACGCCCAGGCGACCCAAGAGGCACCAGGACTTCCCCTGGTGCGTCCGGGAAGCTCCAAGAGAGCCTCAGAGGCCCTCAAGAGGGCCCTTCGCCAGGAAACATTGAGGATCTCACTCCTCGCCTCTTCTCCGACGGGCCTCCGAGGCCCCGATATGCCCTCATTATCATCGCCTCGCCTGCGCCTTCTCCCCCTCGCCCTCTTCATCCTTCCTACTCTTTGTATTACCCGTATTGCCCGATCCCTCCTGGTCTTTTTCCTTGGTTTCCCTTTTTCATCCGCAGGAGATCAATTGGCAAGACAACATAAGAAGCATCGGACAGTAATAAACATGATCTCTCACCCGATCGTCAGCGTGGCCCACTCCCGCCATGCAGTCCAGCTGTTGAGCTAGCGAGAATGTGACAATCATGCGAATTCAGCACGCAATGGTATTGAGCACGCGCGTTGGTGCCTGGTCGAAGTTATTTTGTTTCTGATCATTCAGTGTTCTTGTTCTGCGCGCCCATCAGTAGACAACGATCGCGCGATGACCCCTCTTGAGTTGCCCGCCCCTCTCGCGATTTCAGGGAACCAGATTTCCAAGATGATGTCCAGGACAGTCCCACCATCACAGCAGGGGGGAGACTGGAACCTATGCGCGCGCGAAGCGCGCGCGTGGTTCAAGTCAATGTACATCTATACGCATATATGTATATACACGTTCACGTACCCATGGGCTGCCGCAGGCTACGGCTTGACCTGACCTGACATGCAAGGGCGGAGATTATATTCCTGCTCTGTTCTGTCACGCCGCTCTCGTTGAGCCAGATTCTCCAGCGCGCTCGGGCCCGATACTGTTGTTTATGCGACTCCCTCGAGGTTTGGGGAGCCGTCAGTGTCGACGCACCGCGTCGAGTGTGTTGATCGACCGACCACCTCGCCAGCGAGGCTCTTTAAACCGCATGCGCGCGCACGATTGGAAATATGGCAACGATAAAAGGGCACATCGCCACCCACTCGTGTGTAATCACTCCTCTGTGTAATCACTCCTCCCTCTCTCACTCGCATAATATCACTGTGGCGGCATTCGCGTCATTGTTGAGTGCACGCAGCACGTGCCCCACGCTCTTCCTGGGCAGGTATTCTCACGTGCAGCGTCGTTTCCTGATGTTTCTCCATCGAGCTACCATCTTCACCTCGCTGCGAGGGTGTGCACATAAACATCATTCCTTTGCCTTGCATCGTCTTAATCCTTCACGGGTGAAGCGTTACAGATTTGCGGTGTAATCCTCTTTGTGTTTGCCTCCTCTTCTTGAGCATTCACCTTTTTTCTGCTCCGCGGTGATACTCGCATCCGAACGCGCTCGCGCGGAGTGACGGGACCCCCCTCGGGGTACTGAGCGCCCGCGTCCATCGAGTCTGTCATGGTACGTATGTATGACGCAAGACTGTACTCTAATGGATACATTAGAAGATCCACCAGTGGATCCACAGTGCTTCCATTTGTCCCCGCACAAGTGGATCCACTACAAGGCAGGGAGAAAGGGGTAAACAAGTTGTTGACGCTTCGAGTATCCCCACCAACCCATCCAGAAACGATGCCCAGGAGAGTTGGGGTGACCAGGGAAGTGTAGGAGGAGGATGGATGAGGAGGAGGATGGAGGAGTAAATGGAGGAGGAGGAGGATATATAAGAAGAAGAAGGAATAGGCATATGACAAGCAGGAGGAGGAGGAGGAGCAGGAGGAGGAGGAGGAGAAGGAGGGGGAGCAGAAGACCAGAGGCCGTTAGGATGCCCGGGGGCTTCCTTGGAGTCTTCTTAGGCAGTCTTGCATGCCTCTTGGCGGTCTCGGGGGCCCCTTGGGGCGTCTTGGGTGCCGTTGAGGGGTGCCTCTTGAGGCCTCTTGGGGCCGTTTAGGCACCGCTTGGGGGCCTCTTTGAGAGCCTCTTGGGGCTCTCTTGGGAGCCCTGGTGGCCCTCTTGAGGCCATCTTGTAGGCCATCGATCAAAGAACGGGGGCTTAATTAGCGCCCCTCTCGAGCCTCTAAACTCGCCTCTTGGGGCCCTCTTGGAGCGCTCTTGGGGTCCTGTTGGGCCTGTCTTGGTGCCCTCACGGGGCAGTTTGGAGCCATCCTGAGGCCTCGGAAGGCCATCGGAAGCGAAACGGCGAGAACATAAAAAGCAGTGATTGTCTTTGCGTTTGGGGAGGAATGCGGCCTCTATGAGACTCTCTTGTGGGTGCTCCGAGACCACTTGGAGCCGTCTTGAGGCGGTCTTGGAGCTTCTAGCAGCATCTTGGAACCCATCTTGAGAAATCTTGACCCATCTTAAGCCATCTTGGAGACCATATTGGGCTCTCCGAGGCCCTCTTGGAGCCATCATGGGCCATTTTGGACGCTCCAGTGTGTCGCGGGGCGCTCCGTTCAGGTCCAGGGGGAGGGGCTAAGGTAAGCTAGGTGCGCTCGCGTCATGTCTGACGTCCGACCCCTCCCTCCTACCCCTCAACACCATGGCGTAGATCTCCTCTCTATTCGCACAGCTGGATGTCGAGCAGGGCAATGATCCCGAGAGGGTGCGCGATGCATCGTAGAGCACGACATGGCAGGGCGTAGTAGAGAACGGCAGAGCGTAGTATGTCATAGCATGGCGTGGCGTTGCGTAGTGAAGAATTGCATCACAAAGCATTGTAACGCAAATAATGGCATCGCACAGCGGCACATAGCATCACATGGCATAGCATAGCGTTGAAGAACAAAGCGTGGGGTCGCATAGCATGGCGTGGCACTGCGTAGTCAAGCATTGCATATCCTAGCATTGCAGCTGAAGGCATGGCATCGCACAGCGGAACACCACAAAATTAGCATTGCATTGCATTGCATTGCATGTGCCATGGCACTGGAAAATGACGCCAGCGCTGCAGCGGGAGCACGATTCGGAGCGAGCGGAAGCGCGGAAATGAAGCCAGCATTACAGCGGGAGCACGATTCGGAACGAGCGGAAGCGCGAAAATGAGGCCAGCGCTGCAGCGGGAGCACGATTCGGAACGAGCGGAAGCCCGAAAACTAGGCTAGCGCTTCAGCGGGAGCAACATTTTGGAAAAAACAAGCGAAACCCAACTCCCGGGAATTCGGTGTGTAAAAGAACAGTACGCGGAGGGGGGCCGAGTATCTTCCGGACGTCATCAGGGGAGAAAGGGGAGTAGTATTCATATTGTGTAATTGTGGATGGTCAAAGCCCTCCCCGAAGAGGAAGGGAAGATAGAAGAGGAAACGCTCTAAACCGTTCATGCCCAGAGGGCTGGTGGGATTGTTATTTTCAGGGTTGGAAGAACATGTTTTCAGGGTTAAAGAAATTACTCAGGTTTGGAATAGTTTGAAAATTAGTTCCTGGACCCGCCGTACGAGACATTCTTAGAAAATGATGGCAGGTTGGTTAGTTGATTGGTTGGTTGGTTGATTGGCGGGTTGGTTGGTTAGTTGCTCGCCCGATTGGTTAGGTGACTGGTTGGTTGGTTGGTTGGTTGCCCAGGTGGTTGGTTGGTTGGTTGGTTGGTTGGTTGTTTTGTTGGTCGGTTGGGTGGCTCATTGATCGGCAGGTTTGGTGGGTGGGTGGTTGGTTGGCCGGTTGGCTGGTTGGGCGGTCGGTTGGTTGGTTAGTTTGTCGGACGGGTTTGCCAATTTTTCGGAGGTAGCGCAAGGGAGCATAACAAACGCAAATCTACGCTGCACGTCACGTGGCGACGCAGGAGCGGAAAACATACAATTCTAGACGCTTCGCAGCTCTACCAGCTTATCCAGAAACGATGCCCACGCAAGTTGCCCTGATCAGGAATGTGGAGGAGCATGCCGTGGAACAAAGAGTTGGGGAAGCCGTCATACCCCAAGAAAGGGATGATGGAGGAGGAGAGGAAGGAGGGGGAGGGGGAGGGGGATGGATGAGGAGGGAGGAGGAGGAGGAACATTGGTGTTTTTTCGTGCGCTAGGTAGAGCGGGATAGTATCTGTTTTACTCTCCCGGGCATTGTCGCGTGGCGAATCGAGCGACGGTTTTTGTTCGCTCATCTGCGTTACCACGTGGCGTGTAGACGCATGCAGTTGATTCCCCCCGCCAGGAGTTGCCGCGTCACGAGTATCATCGATTTTCCAGTCTTCAATGTGTAATATCTGATTGCTGTTCAGATGCTCAACCTTTCAAACTTCCCGTTTGCTTGTTCAAGCATTCACCTTTCGAAGGTTCAATGTGTTTTTTCTGCTATGTGTTTTAAATGTATGCTTTCAAACGTTCGAGCTTTCTATTTTTGAAACTCGAAATTTAAGAGCACTGGGAAGAGATGGGGGAGGCGAGTGGTTGATTGGGAGAGAGGGGGAGAGGGGGGGAGGAGGCGGAGAGGGGGAGGAGAGGAAGAGAACGAGTAGGCGGAGGTGAGTGGTGGAGTTGGGGAGGAGACGGTGAGGAGGAGGTGGAGAGGGGCGAGGAGGAGGAGGAGGAGGAGAGGAAGGAGGAGGAGGAGGAGGAGGAGGAGGAGGAGGAGGAGGAGGAGGAGGAGGAGGAGGAGGAGGAGGAGGAGAGGAGAGAGGAGTTCAACAGGGAGGAGGAGAAGGAGGAGGATGTCAACAGGGGGAGGAGGAGAAGGAGGGAGGAGGAGAACAGGGAGGAGGAGGAGGAGGAGAAAGAGGAACAGGAGGAGGAGGAGGAGGAGGAGGAGGAGGAGGAGGAGAGGAGCGCGAGGAGGATTAGGAGGAGGAGGAGGAGGAGGAGGAGGAGGGAGGAGAAGGAGGAGGAGGAGCGCGAGGAGGAGTAGGAGGAGCCGAGGAGGAGGGGGAGGAGGTGAGGAGGAGGGAGGAGGAGGAGGAGGGGAGGAGGGGGAGGAGGAAGAGGAGGAGGAGGAGGAGGAGGAGGAGGAGGAGGAGGAGGAGGAGGAGGAGGAGGAGGGGGAGGAGCAGGAGGTGGTGGAGTTTAGGCGGAGACGGGGGAGGAGCAGAGGGAGGGAGAAGGGGGCAGGAGGAGGTGGAGTCGGGGGAGGAGGATGTGTAAGTGGGACGAAGAGAGCGGAGAGCAGGGACATGGGGCAGACTTTGGTGACTCTGGGCCCCCGCTGCCGCTGGCCGCCTCCAGGCGCCCTGCGAGATCGCAGTTGCCTGCGAGCAGGCCTCCGCCCCGTTCTCGTCCTCGTCGTCCTCGTCGTCGTCGTCGTCGTCGTCGTCGTCGTCGTCGTCGGCCTCGTTCTCGTCCTCGTCCTCATCCTTGTCCTCGTCGTCGTCGTCGTGCTCGTCCTCGTCCTGGTCCTCGTCGTCGTCCTTGTCCTCGTCGTCGTCGTCGTCGTGGTAGTGGTGGTTGTCGTCGTCCTCGTCGTCCTCGTGCTCGTCTTCGTCCTCCTCGTCCTCGTCCTCGTCGTCGTTGTGGCTATCGTCGGCGTCGTCGTCGGCGTCGTCGCCGTCGTCCTGCCTATGTGCTCTTTCTCCGCCTGGTTGCCGTCTCCCTCCTCGTCCTCATCCTCAGTTCCCGGCTTCCCGGCCCTTCTTCTTGCGGGGGCCGCAAGTGGGCCCTCAGGTGGGCACGCAGACCCGGAAAACGAGACGAGCCATGTCACAAGCTTTGAAAACTTTGGAAGGAGAGGCGTGGCTGAGAGCAGCGGTCGGGCGGGGCCACCTCGTCCTCGTCCTCGTCCTCGTCATCTTCGTCGTCCTCGGGGCGAGCGCGGGCGGGAAGTGAGAAGGGGGGCGAGGGGGGGAAGTGATAATGGGGCCTATGAGAAGGAGAAGGCCTTCTCAGGAGGCGGCTGGGCTTCTCAGCAGCCCTCTGGCCTTCTGAGAAGTTTGCTGTGTCTTCGGGGAAGGTGTAGAAAACTGTTCGGAAGGCCGGAAGAATGCCGAGCCTTCTGAGAGGGCCCGCCCCATCTCATTTCCCCTCCCGGGCTGGCCGCCGATTGAGAGCCCGGCAGCGGGGGGGGAGGAGCGGTCGGGCGGGGCCAGGGCCGTGCTGCATCACGACGAGTCGCTCCAGCATATTTCAGAGCGCTCTGGAATGGCCGCGGCGCCCGAGACCGTTCTGCAGAACCGCTCTCTGCTGCCTGGGCTCCTGCTGCGGGGGCGAGGCGCCCTTGGCCGCGGGCAGCGCCGGGGAGCGGGCTCTGGCGCAGGATCTCAGAAATCCCCGCTTTGTTCCGATCCGAGCTTGTCCTGGTCGCAGTTCCGTCTCGAGGGGAGGACCGCGGCCGACGGGGAGAGGGGAGGGAAGACGGGGGAAGAGGAGGGAAGGTGGGTCTCCCGTCCTCGCTGGGAACCTTTCAAACTTTCGACCCCTGGCGGCGCGTGGATTTGTTTTCTTCTTCCGCGCGCGCCTTGCCATTGGAACCCTTGAACTTTTCTGATGGGCGACTTGTACAAGCGTGTGCTAGCGTGCAGTGAAAACTAGACTGCGCCTGGTCCTACAGTACAACGCTACGCTACTCTCGATCGGCCCGAAGGCCGTGCCAATCTAGAACTCGGGGGGAAAACTTGGCCCGTGCCTCCGGCACCCGGGCAAAAGTGCGATCGTCTTACATGGATTGCTTCTCGGGCAGGCTGGGGCGGGGAGCGAAAGAGGGCGGGGGGAAGGGGGCAGAAGGGAAGAAAACCTTCAGATCTCGTTCGCGGGGGCCTTCACGAAGAACTCCGCGCTGACAGGCACATATTCAATCGGTTCGTCTCTGAAGCGGTCGGCCTCCATGGCGCGCTCGACTAGGTCGCCAAGCATACGAAAGAGAACACTGCGACAGATGTCCGTATTCGATTTGTTGGACTAGCAAATCTCTTTGGTGGTTGCGCCTGTTGCTCTATTCTGTGACTGGATGTTGCGCTAGAGCCGCCTCCAGCCGGCGCTTCTTTTTGGGTGAGTGGCGTTGTGGTCAGACTGAGAGGACAGACGGCGTCACCACGGAATCGAACAGACTCAGGCGCAATTTGATCGGAATGGATGGCAGGCGCAGTACAACGAGGGGTTTAATCAGCTGCAAGTGGGTGGTCAAGTCGTCCTACAGCAGAACCAGCTATTTTAGTGTAAGTGCTAGCAACGATTTAGTACAACTATTTCGAGAGAGCTGCTACATTACATTTGCAATCTGGGCTCCCGCGCTTTCCCTCTTCTGGTTGCGCCGAGGGGGTGGAACTCCACACCCGAGCACCCCCGCGGCTGAGAGTTCATTGCTCTTCCGAATTTCAGACGGGGTTAACCTCCGTGCTCGAACTCCTCGCCAGGGATTTCCTGGTTTCTCCAAAGGAAACCTGACCCCCTGGGTTCTCCGGCGCGCCCCAGAAGCAGTTCCTTTCCGGATGGGCCCCCCATAGGTCCTGCATGGTCCCACGTTTGAGTCGACTTGGTGGTGTGAGGACAGGGTGAAGTTCCCGGAAAGGACTCGGGCCCAGGGTTCTCTTTTAGATGTTTTACCCCTGGCCTTGATTTGAGGTGGGCCGGGGGAATTATTTTGCGACGAGGAAAGGGTGGACCAGTGGATGTTTTTCGGAGGATGTCCCGAGCAAAGCGCTTGTTTCGCATCATTTGTTGAGGATGCCTCGAGTGAAACGATCGTTTGGCAGAGTTTGGGGAAAGCTCAGGCAGATGTCTGACATGAGGATTTGTTGAGGATGTCTCGAGCGAAACGCTTGTTTTCACGTGTCCAGGTCGCCCAGGCGGATGTCTAACATGAAGGTGTGTTGGGGATGTCTCGAGCGAAACGTTTATTTCCACTTGACCAGGTCGCCCAGGCGGATGTCTAACACGAGCATGTGTAGAGGATGTTTCGGGCGAGACGCGTTTCCAGGTCGCCCAGGCGGATGTCTAACATGAAGATGTGTTGAGGAAGTCTCAAGCGAAACGGTTGTTTTCACGTGCCCAGGTCGCCCAGGCGGATGTCTAATATCAGGATCTCTTGAACATGTCTCGAGCGAGACGCTTGTTTTCACGTGTCCAGGTCACCCAGGCGGATGTCTAGCATTAGGATTTCTTGAGGATGTCTCGAGCGAAATGCTTGTCGCAGTAGAGTGCGTCGAAGCCCACCCCCACCCGTCTGTGGGGCGTCCCCTGGCGCGCTGGCGCGTCCCCTGTGAGGCCGTCTCGTGCGCGTGATTGCACGGTGCGCGAGCTGCAGAGAGTGGCCCGCCGTTGGCCCATCTGCCGCGGTGTTCGCGCGAAGCGACGGTGGACAATCGTTTCTACGGCGCGTCCTTGGCGGCGTTCTGGCGTGACTTGCCCTGGCAGCCTGCCAGGGCAAGTCACCTGCCAGTGGCAGTGGCAAGTCACCTGCCAGGGGCGTGCTAGAGGACCTGCCAGTGGCAGGTCCTCTAGCACGCCCCTCGGCGTGGCACATTCCCTGGCTCGTCCTGTCGCGTGTCCTGGCTCGTCCTAAGGCGTTTCCCCTGTCCGTTCCGTGGCGCGCCCTCTTATCGCATCCCCTGGCATGACGTCCTCTGGCCCGCCCCATGGGCACGCGCCTCGGCACGTCCCGTGGCAGGTGCCTCGCGCGTCCAGGGGACGTCCCCTAATAAATACGCCCCTTGACACGCCCCCTGGCGCATCCCCGAATGCGCCCCTGGCACATTCTGTGGCGCGTCCGTGAGCCTGTGCCCCGGGTCGTGCCTTCGCTGTGGGGAGCCGAGTCGGAGTTTGAGCTCGAGCTGAATGAACGTCCCGCACGTTCCGACTTCAACTACGTGCTCAGGCAGCTCGAGCTTAAGATTCAGTTCGGTCAGGACTCAGATGCCAAGGTGGACTCGATCCACAACGCTATAGAGCACAATCGCAGCATGGCAAATCGCAATTCAGCACAGCACAGCACAGCCCGTGGCACGGTACATCAACATCGATACGTTCAGTATTGCGATTGCCCGTCGCCCAATCAGTTGTTTTGAAAACGTTGCTGTGCCTCACGTTTCTATATTCCTTTCCGGGTTCGTGGGTCGATCATGCTTTTCGGGTGTTCCGCAAGTTCTTTACATTGTGAGCGTGTGCGCGTTCGATGTTGTCTTGGTACTTTCGGGTGATAAGCGCATTGTCGCGTGCATTGGCGCAGTGGTCTGCCCGTCCTTTGATTTTCCTTGGCTTGAAGGTTGACAACCGCCTCTTCCAGGTCGGCAAGAAGCGGAAGACGTACCCTGCCCTTCTGCTGAAGGCTTGGCCTTCCTCCCCGGTGCCATGCGCAAAGTGCTCGGCCATTTTCATAGTCCGCAGCCATTCCGCTCGGACCCAGGGAGAGTCTACCGGGGGTGCGGGGTCGATGCAGGCGCCTGGCCAGATGTCACTTGTGTGGAGGTGCCCTGGCCTCATACTTCCGAATGCCCACTGAGAAAACGCAAAGATGGGAACATGCATGGGGGAGCAGGTGGAATGGGAGGACGGGAGGGAGGGGACTGGGGCGGAGGGAGATTCATCGAGCGATAATTCGCGGGATGGGGAAGGGGGGAAGGGCGTGAGACGAGGAGGAAGAGGAGAGGGAGAGAGGGGTACCAAAGGGTTCAGGGGCTGGAGGTGGATGGAAGGGAGACGTCGACGGCGACGACGACGAGGACGAGGACGAGGACGAGGACGTGGAGGAGACGAGGACGAGGACGAGGAGGAGGAGGAGGAGGAGGAGGAGGAGGGAGGGATGGAGGGAGGGAGGGAGGGAGGGAGGGGAGGACGAGGAGGGATGGAAGGGGGCGAGGGCCGGGCCGCTAGGAGAGCCTGGCGGGGCGGCGCCCCCGGCTCCGCGCGGGCCGCAGGTTCTGCCAGACCCCGTGGCCGTGGAGGGAGCGAGGGGGGGGG